TAATTTTTGGCCTAATACAATAAAAACATTAAACAAACAACAATTTTCAAAAAAAAATAAATAAAATTAGGGTTAAGAAGAAAATCTTAAATTCTTCGATATAGTTTTAACTAAGATTTTGGGATTTGGTATTATGAAGCGTAATTTAGCAAATAGAAAGTATTTCAATATAAATTTGAATTAAAAAAAACATATTTTTGAAATACTCTTAACAAAATTAAAGGTTTGGATTTAAATGTATATTTTCAAAATAGAGGGGAGGTTTGTGTAATTGAGACAAAATGTAAGGGAGGTTATAGTATTTTACTCTTTAATATAATGGCTTTCAAAGTTATAATGGCTTTCAAAGTTTATTCAAAATAACAAAATCTATAAATATTGAAAATTGTCAATTTTTGTAGTTCACATGTGTTCATCAGTTACGCTTGCTGTATAATGATCTTCGTATTTCTTGTCATGTCCGGTTTTTTTCCCCTCACTTTTGTCTGGCGCTGATCACCTGTTTGTTGATCTGTTAGGCCTCTGGTTTGCTTGCCCTTCTTGTGCTTTTGGTTCCTTCTCCTTTCCTTCTCTTAATAACGTTTAGCCTTTTTCATAAAATTGTCCTTTATCATATTATCAAAAAAGAAAAAACTTGTCCTTTATCAAAACAATGAAAGGGCTATTTGTGAGGTTTCAAACTTCTTCAAAACAATTTAAGTTTTCTTTTTAATTGATCCAGGAAATGGTTCCCGACTTCATGTTATTCAACAAATGTTGTGTCTATTTAAAGTTGAACCCTATAAAATCGAAGGGGAGGCCTCTGTTTTTTTTTTGTTAATATAATTTTTAGTCCTTCAAATTTGTTTTTATTTTGGTTTTGGTTTTGGTTCCTCAAATTTCAAACCAGAGGTTTTAATCCTTTTAAGAGCAAAATAATCTAAATTTTTATTAGATTATAAAGACTAATGTTTTAAATAAAAAAAATTGAGGGACTAAAACTTATAGTTCAAAACTTAAAAAATTAAAACCAAAAATGAAGTAAATTTGAAGAACGAAAATTTGTGTTAGTTTTTTTTTTTTAAAATATTCATATTGCTATTGATACTAATATTAATTATTATTCAACCTCAACCTCCTGAAAGAAAGCGAGAATTTTGGAGCTTCGAGGCTTCTTCATGAAACGGTGGCTAGAGTTAAAATATGATCCTTCTTACATATGCATACTCAACAGTCTAATCAAGCGCAAATTGGACTATCAATTTGGTGTCCTTTTATTAATATTCCTTTTCTAAGGACATATTAAAGATTAAAGATGTTAATTAAATTAATTAATATAATATTTTTTTAAAAAAATATTTTAAGTATTTTTCTTAATTCTTTTCCTGCTTTCCTTACTTAATTATTATTGGGAAATATTAGTAAAGTTAATTTAAGAAAAAATTGAATTTGAACCATCAATTTGATGTCCCTTTATTAAAAATGGAATGATTGGAAAAATAAGTACTACATGTTGTTTTTAATATAAGAGCGAGTTACTAATTTGAGAAGATTTAAAAAAAATTAGCAGAGTTAGTTATTTGTAATAAATGAATGTTGTCTTTTATAAAATATTCTTGCTAATTAAGTATATTAGTTAAAAACTAATTATTTGATAAAACTTTAAATATGTGTAATTACTACAAAGACTACCTTATAAAAAAATAAATATAAGAAACAAAGTGAATCGAGGTCTTATATTTATAATGAAATTTAATGTTAAACTAGCTTTTATATTAAGGATCAAAGGCCGTGTGTATCTTAAACATTTATAACCTTTAATTAATTTTAACTAATTTTTTATCTTTCTAATTTGACTATTTGTATCTTATATATAGAATCTAAGGAAGTAATATTCAATAACAAATTCAATATAATATGATATTATCTCCTGTCTTTAATATAAGAGCTAGTTAATTATTTTAAATAGATTAGAAAAATTAGTTAAGCTAATTATTTGTAATAAATAGGTGATATTTTTTCTAAAATATTTCTGTTAATCAAGTATATTGGCTAAAACTGTCATTATTACAAATATTACATTAAAAAAATGGATAAATATAAAAAACAAAGTAGATTTAGATCTTATATTTAGAATCAAAATAAAAATTAAATAAGCTCTTATATTAAAGATATGAGGTAGTATCATAGTAACCAATAAATAACCTATTAAAGCATATTATTTCGGTATAAGGAGTTGTCATCTTCTTGATAAAAATATTATTTATGAACCAACTTAATTCAAAATGCTAATGTTATAAATTAGTTAAGTTGATGAGTATAAAATATATGTTTTCATTCCTTCAAACAAAATAAAAGTATAAAATAATAATTAATATAATAAGTTAAATTATAATTATACACAAATTGATTTTGCTTCGTATGCGGGGAGATCCAGTGTTTGCCAATTCCTAAAATTTATTTTTGGACCCCAAATTATGGTTTTAGTCCAAAACTATCCAAACACTCTTTCAGGCCTCATTAACCCATACTGCTTCCGCAAAAATACCTATGGTTAAAAAGATAAAACCTATTAAGTTTCTGGAAAACTATGATTTGAGTTAAAATCATGATTTTATCCTCCTAAACTATGATTTTGGAAAGAGAAAAAATATTTCAATTCTAAAGGCTAAAAACTGGTGCTTGGAGTAATTATTATGGATGTAAAAAGGATGGCCTTGGAACTCCGTAGTGGTCAGATTTCAAGGTGGCTTAGGTCGACAGGTGACCTAATAACACGTGGACAAACAAGTGCACTAGTGCAATGGTGAGTATGGGTGAGTATGGTGGAATATGGCCAACTTTCATTGTATCATGACATTTCATGTTTATAATTTTTAATATGAAATAATATTTTTTTGTTGGGAAAAATATTTATTTTTTTAAAAACATATTTAATGTTAAATTTTATAAATATATATACTAACAATTAATTAATTATATTCTTATATATATTTTATTATGTTGGTAAAAAAATTATTTATAAATTTATTACTTCAAATAAAACTATAAATTAAAATCTAATCTTTTTGTGTAACTATCATATTAACTTATATGCTTTTTGATAATTTGTACTTAAAAAAGTGATTCTAATAACAAATATTTAAACACTCTCATTTTATTAAAATCATTTTTTTCAAAATCTATTATCAAAATTACCTTTTTTTCAGAAATATTTTCTAAACCATGATTTGAATTTATCTAAATAACTCGTATTCGTACTGATCATTTTTGGTTTTTACGATCTTATCCGAAATGCTATTGTCTTCCACTTCTTCAAGGCATGCCTTCCCTAAATCTCCTCTCTTTCCTCAGTCTCTTCCATTTGCCCTCCTTCTCTCTCTCTCTCTCTCCACCTTTCTTCCTCAATCTACGATTTTGTTTTCATTCTCATTCCCTAAACCCTAACAGCCACCGGGACTTTGTAGCTTTCTTCAATCGCTATGAGTTCCCAACCCTCCATTGTCAAAATTAACAAGATTTTAGGATCACTTGCAAAGATCAAACATTGCACCATTGCTATCTCACTTTTCTGTGCAAGTAGAATTGAAAGGATTCAAACCGTCTTTAGTTACACTGAACATGTTGATCAATTGCTACGGTCATGTGGGTGACATCATATCCGCTCTCTATTCAATGGGGAAGATATTCAAGTAGGGTTATGGACCAAATACCATAACAATGGCTACGTTGACGAAAGGACTCTGCATGAAAGATGTAGGGCAAGCACTCGACTTTCACGATCACTTGAAAGTATAATATATGCAAAAAAACTAAAACTGAATAAAATAATTAATATATATATTTATAAATTATTTAAAATATTAATGATTTTTTAATAAATACTCATTTTTCTCTATATTAATTCTTAAAAGACATGATATCAGTAGCTTTCACTCAGCAGGCATTTTTTCTGCAAAAATCAAAATAAAATGAAAATAAATCAGATTATAGAAAAATGAAGACCGTAAAAATGAAATTAGTAAAAGGTTGTCTGGATTATGATTGAGTAAAAATAAGTAAAAGGTTGTTTGGATTATGATTGAGTAAAAATAAGTTTGTTTGTAAAATTACTAAAATGAGTATGAGTTTTAATAAATAATAAAACATGATTAAAAAATGATTCTACATAATTAATTTAATGAGTGAATTTTTTTATTTCTTTTTTATTGTATATTAAATATTTGGACTTTGCTGCGCTTGTTCTGAAATGTTAAGAAACAGAGACAAAAAGAACAATTGGATAATGATACTTCGTTGCCATCAGCACGACAATTTCGGGCTGTAGGAGCCGGGAACGGAGTATTAATTCTGCCCTTAAGCTAATAAGCTCTTCAAAAAATAAGCTTATTCTTGCAGCTTCAAGTGAAATTTATGAAAAACAAACTGTATTTCATTTCTCAATTAGGCTTCTGTCCAAAACAAGTAACTTCTAGCTCAAATTAAGAGGCTGTTTGGCATTCTCAAAACCACAGTTTCAGAAACACTTTTCTGCAAAACGAGGTAACTTCCTCCACATATTTATTTCGTAATTCGTAAAAACACTTCTGAAACTATGATTTGGTTTCTATCCAAACACTCCCTAAGTCCTCCCAAACAGGGTGGTTAGAAAATTGCCTGATTGATTTCCTCTCCCAGCACTACGTTTCGGAGAATATTAGCTTGGGCCTCTTCCGTAGAGGAGAAATTGAAGCTAGAAGGGAGGCTAGAAAGAGAATATCTGTTTTCATTAAATAAATTTTTACAAAAAGATAATACCTTTAATTTCTTCTTTATCTAAGATCTATATTTATCACCTATAATTGAAAAAATATATATATAAGCACATAATCAAAAAGCTAATGCCTTTTTATTTCTGCCAACCATTTGAAAAAAAAAAAACGCCAAATTCAAAATCATAGGAAACCAGATGAAGTAATTATCTCTATGCACGATCAGGCCGAAAAAGAAAATTACCTCTCTGTACTATGGCGGACGTCAAAAATGAAAAAAAGAGTCGCCTCCTTCAATCTCTTCGGTTCAATTCCACCAGCATATGCTTCTGCCGTTTCCCAGTTGGTGAAGGAGCTTCTGTGCATCGCATTCCTCTTCCAATCTCACCTGAAGATGCTGTTCTCTTCTGCTGCTTTAAGGTATGCCTTCCCTAAATCTGCTCTCTTTCTGCAATCTCCTCCATTTGCCTTCCTTCTTTCTCTCCCTTCCTTCCTCAAGCTGCGATTTTGTTTTCATTCTCATTCCCCAGACCCTAATAGCCTCCGAGACTTCGTAGCTTCCTTCAATCGCTTGCTCTCCATGACTCCCCCGCCCTCCATTATCGAAATTAATAAGATTTTGGGATCACTTGCAAAGACCAAACACCACACCACTGCTATCTCACTTTATGCCCAGGCGGAATTGAAAGGGTTCAAACCATCTTTTGTTACACTGAACATTTTGATCAATTGCTACTGTCAAGTGGGCGATATCAATTCTGCTTTCTCTTCATCGGGGAAGATTTTCAAGTGGGGTTATCGACCAAATACGGTAACAATGAATACGTTGATGAAAGGACTCTGCATGAAAGATGTAGGGCAAGCACTGGATTTCCACGATGACTTGCTGACAAAAGGATTTTGCTTAAGCTCGGTTACCTATGGTATCATAGTTAATGGGCTTTGTAAAACTGGACAAACAAGATGCGCTGTTAAGTTGCTTCAAATGATGGGGAGACAGAGAATTAAAATTAAGCCCGACTTGTTTATATATACCACAGTCATTGATGGCCTTTGTAAAGAAGGGCTAGTAAGTCAGGCATCTGAATTGTGTTCTCAGATGATCAGTCAAGGTATATCTCCTGATATTGTTATCTACAACACTTTAATCCATGGTTTCTCCAATACCAACCAATTGCACCAAGCTCTGAGGATGCTAAATAAAATAGTCATTAAAGACATCACTCCTACTCGTCATACCTTTAGTATAATAATTGATGCATTTTGCAAAAGAGGAAGGATCATAGAAGCTGAAGCTGTTTTCGCTAAGATGATGAAGTGTTGTGTAAAACCTGATGTTATTACCTTTAGTTCTTTGATGAATGGCTATTGTATGAGGAATGATGTTAATGAGTCCATAGCAGTGTTCAATAAGATGATCAAAGCTGATTTGACACTTGATGTTAGGGGTTACAATATATTGATTAATGCATATTGTAAATTAAAAATGGTGGATGAAGCCCTGGATTTGTTTAAAGAAATGCGTTGCAAAAATTTGCAGCCTGATATAGTCACTTACAGCTCTCTTATTGATGGCTTGTGCAAAGCTAAGAGAATGTCATATGTGAAAGATTTTGTTTATGAGATGCGTCGCAATGGTCACGCTCCTAATATAATAACCTACAATATCATATTGGATGCATTTTGCAAAATGAGACATCTTGACGAGGCAATTGCATTATATCAACATATTGTCAATGAAGGAATACAACCTACAATGCATTCACACAACATACTAATTGACGGTTTGTGCAAAGAAGGTAGGTTAAAATTGGCACAAGACATCTTTGAATTTCTTTTGACCAAAGGTCATCATGTAGATATCTATACTTACAACATTATGATGAATGGACTTTGCAAAGAAGGCCTTTTTGATGAAGCATTGGCATTGCTTTCAAAAATGAAAGAGAATGGCTGCCTCCCTAATTTGGTGACATTTACAACACTTGTTGGAGCTCTTCTGATGAAAAATCAGAATGACAAATCAGAGATTCTTGTTCATGTAATGATAGACACAGGTCTTCTGAAACAGTAAAACAAGGTGAAATGCTCTATTTTTATCTTATGCTTTACTTGTATTAAGTGTGATATTAATCCTTCATAGACTTTATCATAACCACACTATGAGCAACACCATAAGCACACCGTGATTTTGTTTCAAGTTGGTTGGTCAGTATTCTCTCTGGCGGTAGATCTTGTATTTGTTGCTTTGAGTCGTGCATGCATCTCTAAATTGATACTTTGGCGCCACTCATGGTTTTAAATGGTATAATACTTGCAATGAAGAGGTTTTATGGAGATTGATGGCGGAAAAATACTCCAAGTTAGAAATAGATGGGTCAGTTTGTGTCTCTGTAAGTAGTTCATTCGGTGGAGTCATGAAGAATGTGATGGGGGAGTGGGTGATTCGTTTCCGCAGAAAGATGGGTGAATACAGTTAATGCCTTAATAATAACCGAAATCATGTGGATTATTGCAGGTCTGACTGTATGCTTTGAAAAGGGTACAAGAAAAGGCCAAGCTTCTCCAGATTGTGCTCAAAAGCAATGAACTATTTGACTGGGGAAACTTGCTGTGATCATCCGGTTAGAGACATCAGTGAAGAAGCAAGAAGAATGGTTTCACGAGTTTGGGATGTTCTGTTTTGAATGATTTATAGGGAAGGTAATTATAGCGCTGATTCTTTATTTAAATCATTGAGGAAGCATTGGTCTTTAGACCCTTGAGGTACCCCTCCCTTCATTGAAAGGCTGGTGTTTGATGAAAGTTCTGTTGATGTTTTTTGTACTTTGGTGTTTCACCTTAATTTAATATAATGGCTTTCGAGGTTTATTCAAAATAACAAAATTTATAAATATTGAAAATTTTCAATTTTTGCAGTTCACATATATTCATCAGTTACGCTGCTGTATGATGATCTTCGCATTTCTTGTCATGTTTTGTTTTTGTTAACTTTTGTCTGGCCCTGGTCACTTGTTTGTTGATCTGTTGGGCCTCTGGTTTGCTTGCCTGGCTTGTGCATTTGGTTCCTTCTCCTTTCCTTCTCTTAATAACGTTTAGTCTTTTTAATGAAGTTGTCCTTTATCAAAACAATGAAAGGGCTATTTGTGAGGTTTCAAGCTTCTTCAAAACAATTTAAGTGTCCTCTTTAATTGATCCGGGAGATGGTTCCCGACTTCATGTTATTCAACAAATGTAGTTGTGTCAGGTGAACCCTGTAAAATCGAAGAAAGGGGAGGCCTCTTTTTATTTTTGGTTAATATAATTTTTTATCTTTTAAATTTGCTCTCATTTTGGTTTTGGTTTCTCAAATTTAAAACTATAGGTTTTAGTCCCAGGAAAAAATGGTCTAAGTTTTTATTGGATTATATGGAACAATATTTTAAATTAAAAAAAATTTGAGTGATCAAAACTGATAAACATATAAAATCACTTGTATATATAATCAACATCAATATCTTAATTAGGTTTTATATTAACGATTAGAGAAGTATAATGAAGTTATTCCATCTGGCTTCATATATAAGTTACACTTTGCATATGTTTAAAAATTTAATTCGCTTTTTCCACTATTTCTATTCCTTCTCTGGGTAGACTTTCTCTCTTGATTTCTCATTCAGTATCTCTCTCACCTTCTTTAAATAATAGAATATTTCAAAAAAATTATGCACATTTTATACATTTCTAGCCTTTAATTAATTTTAACCATTTGTTTATATTTGATTATTTGTATCTTATATATAAAAACGAACAAAGTAATAGTCAATAACAAATTGAATATAACATAATATTATAGTAATTTTCTTCAGGGAATAATAGTAAATATTGTCTGGACACCAATTGTTGAAATTTTTTTAACTTGTATTCTTAATATACTCCTTTAATTACTCAACAGTTTAATAAATGATAAATCGCAAATTGAATTTGAACCATCAATTTGATGTCCCTTTATTAATAATGGTATGACTGGAAAAATAAACACTACCTCCTATCTTTAATATAAGAGCAAGTTACTAAATTAGGTAGGTTAAAAAAATTAACGGAGTTAATTATTTTTAATAAATAAATATTTTCTTTCATAAAATACTCTTGCTAATCAAGTGTATTAGTTAAAATTAATTATTTGATAAAATTTTGAATATGTGTAACTACTACAAATACTACCTTATAAAAGAAAAGAATAAATATAAGAAGGAAAGTGAATTGAGATCTCATGTTTTGGAATGAAATTGAATGTCAAACTAGCATTTATATTAAGGATCAAATGCATATCTTAAACATTTAAAACCTTTAATTAATTCTAACTAATTTTTTATCTTTCTAATTTGACTATATGTATCTTATATATAGAATCTAAGGAAGTAATATTCAATAACAAATTCAATATAACATGATACCACCTCCAATTTTTAATATAAGAGCTAATTGACTATTTTAAATAGATTAGAAAAATTAGTTAAATTAGTTATTTGTAATAAATAGGTGTTATCTTTCCTAAAATATCCCTACTAATCAAGTATATTAGCTAAAACTATCATTATTACAAAGATTACCTTCAAAAAAATGGATAAATATAAAAAAACAAAGTAGATTTGGGTTTTATATTTAAAACCAAAATAAAAATTAAACAAACTCTTATATTAAAGACATGATATAGTATCATAGCAACTAATAAATTACCTATTAAAGCATATTGTTTTGATAAGAGGAGTTGTCATCTCTTTGATAAAAATTTTATTTATGAACCAACTTAATTTTTAGCTTCGGAATCCATCTTTTCATGTTCTCGAAATAAATAAAGTCCTTTAAAATTGAAATTGGATACTGATTTTCCAGAAAATTGACTGATCAAGTTAAAAAAAAAAACGAATTTCATTTGATGATGATTTTTTATCAAATCTATCTATTTTCTGTTCAAATAAGTTGATGAGTATAAAAGATATGTTTTTATTCCTTCAAAAAAAATAAAAGTATAAAATAATAATTAATAGAATAAGTTAAATTATAATTATACACGTTATTGATTTTGCTTCGTATGTGGAGAGATCCGAGAAATTAGAAATTTGATTCACGACCCTTGTGATATTTAAGAGGTGTTTGGATAGAAACTAAATCATAGTTTTAAAAGTATTTTTATAGTTTAAGAAGTAAATATGTGAGAAAATTTATTTTGTTTTACAGAAAAATACTTTTTAAAAACACTTTTAAGGGGTTGTCAAACACTTTCTGATATTCGTTAGCCTTGAAGAGACCCACTATACTAGTGTTTGGCAATTCATCAAAAAGCGTTTTTGGACCCAAACTATAGTTTTAGTCCAAAACTATCCAAACATTTTAAGCTTTTGAAAAACCGTGGCTTGGGTTGAAATCATAGTTTTATCCTTCGAAACAACAGGAAAGAGCAAAAATATTTCCGATCTAAGAGCTAAAAACTGATGCTTGGAGTAATTATTAATTTATTATGGATGTCAAAAGGAAACTTCGTAGTAGTCAGACTTTAAGGTGGCTTGGGTCGACAGGTGACCTAATAACACGTGGACAAACAAGTGCAATAGTGCATAGGTGAGTATGGGGGAATATTGCCAACAATTTCATGATTATAATTTTTAATGTGAAATAATATTTTTCTATTGGCCAAAAATATTTATTTTTCTAAAAATATATTTAATGTTATATTTTATAGATATATATACACGTACTAACAATTAATTAATTATATTCTTATATATTATTTACTATGTTGGAAAAAAAATTCACAAGTTTATTACTTCAAATAAAACTATAAATTAAAATCTAATCTTTTTGCGTAACTATCATGTTAATTTATATACCTTTTGCTAATTTGTACTTAAAAAAGTACTTCTGATAATAACTGTCCAAACATTCTCATTTTATTAAAATTATTTTTTTTAGAATCTATTCTTTCAAAATCTATTCTCAAAATCACCTTTTTCCATCTTATTTAATAAACTAATTTTTAAAACCTTAATCGCAAATATTACTGGGAGGTATTTCCCCCCATGAGTGCGAGAGAGAACGAAAACCCTCTGCCGGCACCGACGTCGGAGGAGCATGATGCTTTAGATAGGAGTCACAAGAAAGTGAGGGCTAGAGAGACTATATTCTCGCTGGAGCAACGATTGGTTCCTAGGGTTGAAGAGTGGATGACAGATGATAATCAAGCAAGAGCTACTGAATCGGATAAGGGCAAAACTCCATCAACAGCTAGCACGACATGGAAATCTTTCAAGGAGGCAGTCACGAAGGAAATAACGATGGAGGAGGAAGAAGAGGATTGGTGGAGTAATGACCGCTGGAAGGAGCGAATCTCGGTTTCTATGACGGTGAACAGACCTAACGTGATTATACTGCCACAAGAAAAAGAAAGACTAGCTCTGCGATGGTAGAATACGCTGATTGTCAAGTTGCTGGGCAGAATGATCAATCCCGACTACTTTGAAAATAAATTGAAACAATTGTGGGCAAAGTAGGGTGACATTGACTCAATAGATGTGGGGTCTGGTTTCTTTGCAGTGAAATTTTCTAATGCTTCTGATTATGAATTGGCGTTAACCGGAGGGTTGTGGTTATTGTTTGATCACTATATCGCAGTTCAACCTTGGAAACTAGATTTTGATCCAGATGAGGAACAAGTTTCAAAGATTGCGGCTTGGATTTGTATTCCCAAGCTGGCCCTAGACTACTACGACAGAGGCATCCTCCACGTACTGGGCAACCAAGTGGGAAAAGTATTAAAAGTTGACACGGCAACTCATTAAAAGAAAGAAGGGGAGATTCGCAAGAATATGTGTTGAACTTGACTTGAGTGCACCCCTGCGGTCAATGGTTCTCATTAATGGTAAGGTGCATAGAATTCAGTATGAAGGCATCCATCTCATCTGTTTTAGCTGCGGAAGATATAGCCATGATAAAGACCTCTGTCCGCAGAAGAGAGTTGAGGTCCCAGAAGCGGAAATCACAGTATCGAAAACGACTTAGATAGATCCAGCAAGTGCAGGGAATTCAGAAGAACCATATGCGATGACTTCAGAAATAAAAAAGGAGAAAGCAGCACGGCGACAGGTGCACCTACGGTGGTTTACAACTCTTGGATGGTGGTCCAGAGGCCAAGGAGACAACGACGATCAGAACAGCTGAAAGGGAAAGTGAGTAAGAGTCGGTGAGATTCACGATCGACCATTAGGATTGAGAATCAAGGATCTCGGTTTCAAGCGCTTTCTTTAGAGGAAAATAAGGGACCGGATATGTCGCAAGATTTGAATGAGAACAAGAGCCAAGTAGAAGCATCAGAGTTAGGATTTAATGCAGACCCGAGAGAGCAAGCTAGCAATACAGAAAATGCTCCTACCTCAATGAAGATGGTTGGGCTAAGAAAAGAGATTTCCACTAGTCGGCTACGCAAAGTTGGGCTAAGAGTGGAGTCTAAAAACAAGAGGAGCTTACCTAAGTTTAAAGTGAAAGGGCAAAATGAGATGGGGTTTTTGCTTAAGGCCAAGTAACGACTAGGCTTGGAAAATAAAAAGCAAGTAGCCACAGCTGATGGGCTTCCTTTTTCGCACAACAGAGAGTCCATGTTGACGTTGGGACTGATAAGGAGAAGAATGATGCAGCTAATGGGCCTATAACGCAAAGTAATGGGTCAGTTTCGATCTATGATCCAGGGGATGCGTCTTTTCTGGAGGCTAATGACCCACCTGATCCAGGTTCTTTAAAAGAGAGCCTATCCATAGCCCTGTCGAACCTAATGACTATTAGACAGCAGTTTGAAGTCATGCCGAGATATGGACCACCTAGCTCTACTGGGCAATAAGCAGTCTCTTTATAGTGCTGTTACAACATTCCTTCTCAGGTTCTTATGATGAAGAAAAATATTATGATATGGAATTCACGTGGCGTTAGAGGGAAAGCTTTCGCTGGACTATTATTCGATTTAAAGAAAAAATATAGTTTGAATCTCTTAGCTATATCGGAACCGAGACAAAAATATGAAAAGCCCATGGTTTAGCTAAAAGAGTAGGTTTCAAGAATATGGAGATCGTAGATGCTTTTGGCTTTAGTGGAGGCATTTGGTGCTTTTGGGATGAGGATACTAATTTCACGGTGACTTCCAAACATGCTCAGGTGCTTCATGGAACTTTCAACCAAGGTACAAGTGATGCTTGGGATCTCTCTATTGTCTATGGCCATCCTAATATTTCATCTTGTTGTATGCCTTGGCAACAACTCGAAGAGATAGAAGAAAAAGGAGTTGGTAGATAGTGCATTGAAGGTGATTTCAATGCTATGTTGAGATCTGAAGATAGAATTTCGTTTGCTGATTCGACGGTCGGCCCTGACCGTTGCCTACAGAATTGGGTTCAAAGGAGTGGTGTCACAGAAATTGAATTTCAAGGTCCTAAATTTACTTGGTGCCGAGGTAGATCCTTTAATAGAATTGATCGTTTTTTCGGGAATTCGGCTTGGATTGAACACTTCTTAGAAGCTTTGATTGTTCATCTCCCTAAAATGAAATTTGATCATTGTCCTCTTCTGTTGAATATGGGAAGGAGGTTTGACTACCATCGTTCCAATACTTCTTTTCGTTTCTTTGCCCCTTGGGTGGCTCATGAAGGTTTTACAAAGCTGGTCAAACAAGCTTGGCATCATGATAAACAATGGGAACTAAATGTTGGTAGGTTTCAAAAGGAAGTCCTTGATTGGAATAAGAAGACATTCGGTAATATTAATAAAAGAAAATCTAACCTGCTGAGAGAGCTGGAATACATGAATCTCCATGGTGGAACGAGCGAGGTTTGGGAGAGGAAGAAACATGAAAAGTGGAGAGAGCTTGAGCAATGCCTTGTGCAAGAAGAGATTATGTGGCTCTAGAGGTCAAGATGCAATTGGTATAATCATGGCGATAAGAATACCAAATATTTCCATACAATAACAAACTGTAGAAGGAACAAGAAATTTGTGGAAGCTTTACAAGATGAAAACGGAGTGTGGAGATACGATCAAGAAGAGTTGAAGAACAAAGGCACATCCTTCTTTCATAAGCTTTTTCTTAGTGAAACTAACGCTCATGTGTCTGTTCGGTTTAGAAGAAGCTTCCCACAAATTGATGATGAGTCCCTTAATGCGTTGGGTAAGGACGTTACAGGCCAGGAAGTCAAACAAGCTATATTCAGTATGGGCTCGCTTAAAGCACTGGGACCAGATGGTCTCAACCCTTTATTCTTCCAATCTCAATGGGAAGTGGTGGGCCCCTCGGTAATGAATATGGTGTCTTCTATTTTTTTCTAATCCACAAGAATTAAGATGCATCAATGGTACCATTATTACTCTTATACCCAAAGTGGAAATCCTGCAAAACTTTTGTGATTTTAGACCTATAGGCCTTCGTAATGTGATTTACAAAGTGGGTACGAAAATTCTAGCCAACAAATTGAAAATCGTGCTTCTTGATGTGGTTGCTCCAAATCAATATAGCTTCATCCCAGGCAGGCAAATCTCTGACAACATTATTTTGGCTCAAGAGATTATTCATTCTATGAGCACTATGAAAAGGAAGAAAGGCTTTATGGCATTAAAAATTGATTTGGAAAAAGCTTACGAGCGAGTCAAATGGAGCTTCGTTATTGAGTGTCTTCAAGAGATGCGGTTACCTAAGAGATTCATAGACATAATCTATTACTGTTTGAATACTGTTGAGATGCAGATTTTGTGGAATGGATCTAAAGGTGAGAGTTTTAATCCTTCACGTGGTATTCGACAAGGAGATCCTATCTCGCCCTACCTCTTTGTCCTTGTGATGGAGAAATTGGCACACCTCATACAGAATGAAGTTTCAGAAGGGCATTGGCGACCCTTTCAGCTGAAAAAGAATGGTGCACAAATCTCTCACCTTTTCTTCGCAGATGATCTTATATTGTTTACTAAAGCTAGCATGGAGCAAGCTGGTTTAATTAAAGCATGTATAGATGATTTCTGTTTGGCTTCTGGAGAAAAAGTGAATGTGACAAAATCAAGAGTTTTCTTCTCTAAAAATGTGAATCACACTCGACGAGAAGAAATAAGTCCATTCTTAGGATTTACTCCTACGGCAGACTTGGAAAAATATTTAGGAGTACCTTTGAACCATAAGAAGGTTTCAAACAAACGTACAAGTTTGTTATTGAGAAGATGGATCATAGATTGTCTGGGTGGAAGGCTAATACTTTGTCAATGGCAGCCAGGCATACTTTGGTCTCATCGGTTATTGGGGCTATTCCGCAATATACCATGCAAACGGTGCCTTTACCATTGACTGTTTCTGATGAAATTGATAAAAGATGCAGAGATTTTATATGGGTTAGCACCAACAACTCTAAGAAAATTCATCTTGTTGATTGGGAAGATATTTGTAAACGAAAGGAAGAAGGAGGATTAGGTCTGCGTAGTGCGCGGAAAAAAAATAAGACCTATATGATGAAACTAGGGTAGGAACTTATGAGAAAGAGAGATGCTCTTTGGGTTAAATTCCTGAGAGAAAAGTACAGATATGGTGAAGACATCATCCCAAAAGTTGAAAGAAAGAAAAAGGCTTCCTAAACCTAGCGAGGCATTCAGAAAACTTGGGACCTGACTGTGAAGAGTGTGGAGTGGAAGCTTGGTAGTGGCTCTAAGATTCATTTTTGGAAGGATTACTGACTACCAAAACACGACAGACTTATTAATCTTACTATCGGTAACATCCCCGAGAATGTACGAGACGACCTGGTTGCAGACTACATCAATGACACCAGTGAGTGGATTTGGCATAAGTTTACGCGGTATTTGCCAGCTTCTGTTACCTCGTATATTCAGCACCTGTACCCTATGGTCTGCCGTGAGGATGTGGATTCTGTAAGATGGAAGGGGAATTCAAATGGTGATTTTTTTTTGTCAAATCGGCCTATGCTCTACTGTGTGACCAGACCCCCTCTAATGTTCGGATGGATTGGCACAAACTCTAAAAATTACACATACCTCAACAATGTAAAACCTTTCTCTGGCTCTGTGCGTAGGGTCGGTTGCTTACCAATAGTTTACGTGTTGTTAGAGGGTTTCAACAAGACGATAGGTGCGGCTTCTATTCTGATAAAAGAGAGGATATTTTGCATGTTTTAAGGGATTGCGAGAGAGCCGAAATCTGTTGGAGGAAAATTGTGCCAGCGGAGCTCTGCGAGAGGTTTTTCTCTTTGTCTAATGCAACAGCCTGGATTAACTGGAATATAAATAAAACAACCATCCTCATGGGTGCCAAGTGGAGTGTGTGGTTCGGTATCATGAGTAGAAGGCTTTGGATTAATAGGAACAATGGTGTTTTTAAGGACCAAGCATAAGGCTCTAACCAACTCATTGCACAGGTGTGCACGATGGTGTCGTGGTTAGATTTTCGACTCTCTGGGTTGCTAGAAGAAGTGCATAGACAGGCTCAATGGACACCTCCTTTTGTGGGTTCTGTCAAAGTAAATGTAGATGGTTCATATGATTCGCGGACTAAGAATGTAGCGTGCGGTGGGATTGCTCGAAACCAGAATGGAGAAGTTCTCTCGGGTTTCCTTTTCAACATTGGTAGAGGTTGTAGTTTCCATGCGGAAGGGTGGGCTGTGTTGCTGGGGTTGCGTCGAGCCTGGGAGATGAACTGGAAGAAGGTGGTAATAGAGACTGATTGTTTGGAAGTCGTTGAATGTGTTATGCATGGTTGGAGGGAGGAGCACCCTGAATATAACTTACAGGCATTTGTGGCTGGCTGGGAAAAGACTGGGATGCTAGTATTGTGTGGTGTAACCGAGACGCTAATAAGGTTGCTAATTGTCTTGCGAAGAGAGCCCAAGAAGCTGCAGGAGGCTTTGTTTCCTTTAGTTCATCGCCGGACTTCCTATAGGATTTGCTGCATGTGGATGTGAACGCCTAGTGTAGTGTAGCTGTTTTTAATTTTCATTAAAAAAAAATCACCTTTTTCCCAGAAGATATTTTCTAAACTATGATTTGGATTTATCCAAATACTCCTATATTAGTGCTGATCATTATTCGCTTTCGTGTCTTATCTGAATTATGCTATTCTCTTCCACTTCTTCAAGTTATGCCTTTCCTAAATCACTCCTCTTTCTACAATCTCTTTCATTTGCCCTCCTTTTTTCTCTCCCTTCCTTCCTCAATCTGCAATTTTGTTTCATTCTCATTCCCCAAATAATAGCCTCCGGGACTCTGTAGCTTCCTTCAATCGCTTGCTTTCCATGAGTTCCCAACCCTCCATTGTCAAAATTAACAATATTTTAGGATCACTTGCCAACATCAAACATTGCACCACTACCATCTTGCTTAATGTCAAAATTAACATGAATTATGCATCATCTTACACTTATATTTCATCTGATAATCTTTGCTTGATTGCATGGCGATGGTATGCTTTTGTTGGGGCATTTTTACCCTGGCATGCATTTATTCACGGGTTATTTTCAACCTAACTTTTACCTAATTTAACTTTTTTAAAAGTCAGATTAAAAATAAACTACTTTTTCTATTGCTATTCCAAACAGATACTTAATAACCGATAGGCCAACATGCTCCCATTGACTCTGCAAGAGTAGCGAACTCCAATTATCCAGGCCTGGCGGCTTGAGAGCCCCCATTTAGAAGATTGCCTAATTGATTTCCTCTCCCAGCACTACGCTTCATAGAATATTAACCGGGGCCTCTTCTATAAAAGGGAAATTGAAGCTACAGGGGAGGCTAGAAGGAGAAGATCTGTCTTCATTAAATAAATTTTTATAGAAGGATAAGGCAATACCTTTAATTTTTTCTTTATCTAAGATCTATATTTACCACCTATAATTTAAAAAAGATATCAGCACATAATAAAAAGCTCATGCTTTTTCATTCTGCCAACCATTAAAAAAAAACATTTCAAAATCATAGGACACTAGATGAAGTAATTATCCCTATGTACGATCAGGCCCAAAAAAGAAAATTAACTATGGCGGATGTCGGGGGGGGAAGTAGTGTTGCCTCCTTCAATCTCTTTGGTTCAATTCCACCGGCATATGCTTCTGGCGTTTCCCATTTGGTGAAGAAGCTTCTGTGCGTCGCATTCCTCTTCCAATCTCATCTGAAGATGCTGTCTTCTTCAGCTTTTTTAGGGTATGCCTTCCCTAAATCTCCTCTCTTTCTGCAATCTCCTCCATTTGCCTTCCTTCTTTCTCTCCCTTCCTTCCTCAAGCTGCGATTTTGTTTTCATTCTCATTCCCCAGACCCTAATAGCCTCCGAGACTCCGTAGCTTCCTTCAATCGCTTGCTCTCCATGACTCCCCCGCCCTCCATTATCGAAATTGATAAGATTTTAGGATCACTTGCAAAGACTAACCACTCCACCACTGCTATCTCACTTTATGCCCAGGCGGAATTGAAAGGGTTCAAACCATCTTTTGTTACACTGAACATTTTGATCAATTGCTACTGTCATGTGGGCGATATCACTTCTGCTTTCTCTTCATCGGGGAAGGATTTCAAGCGGGGTCATCGACCAGATATGGTAACAATGAATACGTTGATGACAGGACTCTGCATGAAAGATGTAGGGCAAGCACTGGATTTCCACGATGACTTGCTGACAAAAGGATTTTGCTTAAAGCTCGGTTACTTATGGTATCTTAGTTAATGGGCTTTGTAAAAGTGGACAAACAAGATGTGCTGTTAAGTTGCTTCAAATGATGGGGAGACAGAGAATTAAAATTAAGCCCGACTTGTTTATATATACCACAATCATTGATGGCCTTTGTAAAGAAAGGCTAGTAAGTCAGGCATCTGAATTGTGTTCTCAAATGATCAGTCGAGGTATATCTCCTAATATTGTCACCTACAACACTTTACCCTATGGTTTCTCCAATACCAACCAATTGCAACAAGCTCTTAGGTCGCTAAATAAAATAGTCATGAGAGACATCACTCCTACTCGTCATACCTTTAGTATAATAATTGATGCATTTTGCAAAAGAGGAAGGATCAGAGAAGCTCAAGCTGTTTTAGCTAAGATGATGAAGTGTTGTGTAAAACCTGATGTTATTACCTTTAATTCTTTGATGAATGGCTATTGTATGAGGAATGATGTTAATGAGTCCATAGCAGTGTTCAATAAGATGATCAAAGCTGACTTGACACCTACTGTTGTGAGTTACAGTATATTGATCAATGCATATTGTAAATTAAAAATGGTGGATGAAGCCCTGGATTTGTTTAAAGAAATGCGTTGTAAAAATTTGCAGCCTAATACAGTCACTTACAGCTCTCTGATTGATGGCTTGTGCAAAGCTAAGAGAATGTCACATGTGAAAGATCTTGTTTATGAGATGCGTCACAATGGTCACGATCCTGATATAATAACCTACAGTATCATATTGGATGCATTTTGCAAAATGAGACATCTTGATGAGGCAATTGCATTATATCAAGAAATTGTCAGGCAAAGAATACAACCTACTCTGCGTACGTACAATATATTAACTGATTGTTTGTGCAAAGGTGGTAGGTTAAATTTGGCTCGAGACATCTTTGAATTGCTTCTGACTCAAGGCCATCATCTAAATGCATACACTTACAACATTATGATGAATGGACTTTCCAGCGAAAGCTTGTTGGACAAAGCATTGAATTTGCTTTCACAAATGGAAGAGAATGGATGCCTCCCTAATTTGGTGACATTTAAAACACTTGTTGGAGCTCTTCTTATGAAAAAGAAAATGATAAAGCAGAGATACTTATTCGTGAATGATAGATGCAGCTGTTCTGAAGCATTAAAACAATGTCAAATGCTCTATTCTTATCTTATACTTTTATTAATTGTGATATTTTTCAAAGGTGGTTGGAAAATGCTTCCTTATTTGGACAAAAAATTAATGAATTATTCCTCATTTTACAGTCTTAGTGTTTTGTTATTCTGTTCCTGAATTATGCATCATGTTGCACTTGTGTTTTGTCTGATAATCTTCGCCTGATTGCATGGCTATGGCATGCTGTTCCTGGTGCATTTTTACCTCCGCACGCTACTAATGCAACAATTGATTGTTTCTCTGAACACAACATGCTGCTTTGAAGCTTTTTTAAATCTGTTTAATGAATAAAATACTGTATAACTGATCTTACTTCTAAGAATCATAAAATCAAGTCACTACTTACTACTGTTGTTTTCTATAATTGCAATTTAGTATCAAAGTCATGAGAGTGATATAATAATGATGTTATAAATTTGTTACTTCCCCAAAGAAAAGACCCTTATAGCACCTTGAAGACAATGTTATAATCTTGGGAACATGAGCAAGGAGCATTAATGTTGTGTTTCTATGATTCTTGAGAAGAATTTTAATTTTTATGATTTTGATTGTCCATAATACATGTAAGGACTCTTTAAAAAATATTGTGTGGATGGCTCAGTGAAAAGGAATAGAGAAATGGATCGATCTAGCCTCATATTCTATTATTCATGACCTTACTAATGCTATGGTGGGTGCATCTTTCTTCAGGCTCGGCAAATAATTGTGTAGTAATCCTTGGTAGAGTTTCTCATAATCACACTATGAGCAGCACTGTAAGCACACCATGATTTTGTTCCAAGTTGGTTGGTTGTGGTTCAGAGAAATCTCAGGTAATAAATGAAGATGTTTTATGGAGATTGGTGGCTGAAAAACTCTTCAAGTTAGGAATAAATGGGTCAGTTGATGCCTTGGGGGACTTTATGCTGGGAAAGGGGCATAGGAAAAGGCCAAGTTTCTGCAGATTGGGTTCAAGTAATAAACTACGAGGGAAACTAGCTGTGATCATCTGGATTATTGCAGTTGATGTTCTGTTCTGTTTTATTTGTAGGGAATATAATTATAGTGCAGCTTCTTTAGTAAAGTTTGCTGGGGATATTGGTCCTAATTTGTTTGCTCCTTTCAGCTACCCCCAACTTTCATTAACGTTTACTAGAAACGGTGGTTGATGAAAGCTCCTTTGATTTCTTTTGTGCTTTGTAGTTTCACTTTGATCTAATTTCCCCTTCCTGGTTCCCAATATCCTATTTGTCTCTTCAAATCCATTTTATGTATTTGTTTTAATGAAAAATGCAGAGGTCATGCACCCAAAGAAAATAATAATTAGACGAAAAAAAGAAAATAATATTAGTGAAGGAGTAAAAACAATTTCGTAATTCTTGATGTGTTTATGTTCAATACCATTTAATAAATACAAACTTTTTGTATTATGATTTGAAACTTATTCTATTATTTAACTATCAAATAATAATAACTCAAACTCAAACTGATTTAAATATCAGTTTTAATAAGTAATTAAGTGTAGCACTATGATTAATATTTGAGGTTTTACTTCTCACATTTCTCATGCCAAATTTTAAATATAAACTTTTCTCCCCTTCTTTGGATGGAAAGAAAATGAAAGAGAAAAGAAGATGAGAAAAAAAGAAATTGAGGGGGACAACTGAGCTTTCCCTATTTGAGTACAGGAAGAAAAGCGAGAGGAGAGAAAAGTATGGGATAAAGAGCTTGTTTGGTTTCTTATTTTGAAAATAATTTTTTGTTTTTAAAAACAGAAAAACAAAAAACTTTGTTTGGTAATTTGTTTTTAGTTGACTGTTTTAAAAAATAAAAAACAGTAACATGTTTTTAAAAACTAAAACACCAAAACAACTTTTACATGTTTTATTGTTTTTGCTTTTGTGTTTTTATTTTTGTTTTGAAAAATTTTGAGAAATCTCTTTCTCTTCTCACTTACTATCTACTACTTACCAGTGCCAGCGACAACTATCATTTACCAAGTACGGTTTTTTATATTTTTTTTTCAAACATGATTTTTTAAAATTATTATCCAAACAAATTCTTTTGTTTTTTATTTTCAAAAATAGTTCTAAGAAACAATTTTATAAAATTGTTTTGAAAACAAGAAAACAAAGAACAAAAACAAACAGGTCCCAAATTGTGATTCATCTTATTTTCTTTTCAACTTTTTCTTTTCTTTTTAGGGATGAAGAGAAAATGAGGGGGGGGGGGGGATGAACATCTCACCTCTGCTCTTGCGTTGGTCTTTGTCACGTCAAGTATTAATTTATATTAGGTCTCACTCATATTGGCAAGTTTAATAATGATAGCAAGTCATCAAAGACGTTGGAAAAGGAAGGTAAGGCATCATTATTCAAGCACAAATTTTTTAAAAAGTAATAAGAAAAAACATTACAATTTATTTGTTTTGCAGAGAAGGATTCTGGTTTTTTTATTCCAAAGAGGATTTTCTCGTTCAATTGCAGAGATTTTTAGTCCCACAGAAGACATAATTTATTTTCATATCAACTTTTTATCATTTATTACTAGCATTAAATAATGTATAATTTATTTATATCCTTTTATTATATTTAACTGCAAAAAATTGTTTACTTTTTATTTCTTATCTTAAGAAGTAATATTTTTTATGAAGTTATATCAATATAATAAATAGATTTTGTTAATAATAATATATTAGTATTTTTTTGATTGTGATATTTAATATATTTTAATTTACTTTAATTTAGAGCTGAGGGTATTTCAATCATTCAAATATATACTCATTTTCTTTTTTTTTTCTTTTTTCTCTCATCCATCTAAATATGAGAGATGTTAACATTTTCTCTCTTCCTATTTAGTTTCCTTCCAATCTTTCTTCCCATCAAAACGGTTTTGTAGTTTTTATTTTTAAACTCAGCTTGATGGAGCAAAAATTAGAGGGAGGAGAAAAGTAAGAAGGAAAATAGAGGGGAACATAGATTTTTATTTTTTATTTTTATTTTTTTGAGTTTGGATTAGATGAGAAAATAAAAAGAAGAGAAAAATGAGAGGAAAAAAATATAATAGGATTCATGTGTTTTTCTACCCAAATTCTCTCCCTAATATTTGGATAGATTTCGGGGAAAAAGCAAAGTTCCCAAACTTGCTCCTTGCCCCACCCTCACCTGCCCCATTGTCCTCAAAACATTCATCTATTGTTTCCTCATGGTCTTCTAGTGATTTCTATTGAGGGGTGTTTGGATGGAAACCAAATTATAGTTCTAAAAATAATTTTACAGTATACGAAATAAATATATGAAAGAATTTATTTCGATTTGTGAAAAAGTGTTTTTAAAAAGCACTTCTTATAACATCCAAACAGCCCCAAGTATTGTGTATGTTATTATGCAGTTTTAGTCTCTTAGAAGGTTCATAATACTGGGCTTTTTGACTGGCCTTTAATTATAAAGTAAAGTGACTTTATATATGAGAAAAATCTCAATAAAATACCTTTAACGTCTAAAACTTAAAAACTCCAAATTAGAAATGATCCCAAAAATATGATGTTATTTACTTTTCAAATATAGTCATTTGTTATTAAAGTGTAGTAAACAAAAATGATTTAAAATTTTAAAATTCAAAGGTATTTTTAGGGTCCCTTATATATGAATATTCATATATGAAAGATGACAAATAGAAACTGTGCAAATTGTAAAATCCGACCCAAATTAGGATTCGTTATAATACTTTAATAGGTTTTAACAACAATTAACTTATAAATAACAACATATTTTTGTGAAAAATACCTAATTTAAGATTTTTGTAATTTTCACCTTTTTTGTCATTTTTCCCTTTTTATATTGATAGAATTCTCATATAAATTATTAGGATAAATGCCAGCTTTAATTTGTAAAATTTAACATTATTTTAGTTTTAGTCCATGAATTTGAAACTTATGATTTTGGTCTCTAAAATTTGAAATCAAAATGAAATCAAATTTTAAAGATCAAACTAAAATGATATCAAATTTTGGGAAATAAAAATAATATTAAAACATGCAACAATGGCAATAGCAATAACATAGTAGGAGTAACAAGAACCACAACAATAACTACTATTACTAATGAAATTAAAAGAGCTTGAGGCTTTTTTCGTAAAAAATTATTTTGGTATTAATAAATCACGATAGAAAAATATTATTGTTATTGTGACTTGTTTACTTTTATTTTAACTTTCTTTTTATTATTTTAGTTTGTGAGGGAATATTTTGCTCAATATGTTCATTTTCAAATAAAGTATAGAAAATAATTTTATTTTAATTTGACTTCAGTCTTTAATTTGATGGTGTCATTTTTTTTATTTAAGTTTACTTTTTTTTTTTACATTACTTTAAAAAATGAGTTGGAAATAAAATAAGGGTATTATTTTCGCTGTAAATGTTACGCATTTTGTCTCCTCCCTTGTCCCTTCTCTATCCAAATGGAAGAAGGATAGTATCCTATCACCTCACTTTCCTCTTCCATTCATTTTCTTCTCCTTCTAATTTTCTCTCGATTCATTAAAAAACAATTTACAAAACAAGTTCAAGAATTGACACAAAGCTAATGGAGGTAGAATCTTAAAATCACAATGAACTTTTGCATATAATACATTTTGATTTCGAAAATATATTAACCTTTTGACGTAATTGCACCCATACCACCTTTTAATTAAAATATACTTCTCATACGTAATATAATACGTAATTAATTAATTTGAAAAAAATTAAGAAAATGAGAAATTATTTAATTATATAACATCAGTTTATAAGTCAAACAAATTATTTAAAAAAATAATAAATATAATATTTTAAAATAATTTATTTAAATTATTTAATTTTTCAAATTATTTAACTGAGTTATGTATTAAGGATCATATGTAGTATTCACTACTAATTTTGATCTTGAATATGATCTTAATTGACTAATTTGAAAAAATTAAAAAAGTTACTAAATTATTTTACACTATTTATATTTATTACTTTTTTCCAAGCTAATTATCTTATTTATCAACTAATATATAATTTAATATCTATATAAGTATTTTAAAGAAATTATGCAACATATGTTGCAATTAAGTAATTTCATAAATTTGTTAATCTCTTTAAATTAACTAACTGAGACTTATATTAAAATAATAGTATTAACTATTAAATGATGATGCACGAGTAAAATTGTTGAAGTAAATATCTCGATTGATTTTTTTTTTTTAAAAAAAAAAGAAAAACCCAACAAGAGGATCGAATTTGCCCGTGAAACTGATCCATCCAAATTTCAGAAGAGGAACCGAAACTCCTTTTAGAAAGAATTAAATATAAATTTTTTTTATTAAAATTACCAAATTAATATGAAATCCTAAAAATCTCATTTTAAGAGATTTTATTTGTTTAATTACTACATTGTTCTTATCTATTTTTTAAAGTATGCATTGATAACTGAAATGGTAGTTCTTAATAACTTAAAGTGTAAATATTAACAACTATCACAATTAACAACTCATACATTACATTTTTATAATATACTAGGAAAACATATTATTAATACTTATCATGATAATTGTTAATTGTTACATTATGAACAACTACTCTTTCAGTTGTAAATACATATTTAAAAAATATATAGTTTGATAATTAAATAAATAAAATCTGAGGTTTTTGAGAATTTAGATTAATTTGATAATTTTAAAATATTTTTTTATTTAATTCTGTTATTTGGGAGCTTAGTGCAATTTTCCCAGTTCGGTTTCCCAATTCCTACTTGTCACAATCCGCATATGTCTCTCGCATTTCCCCTGAATCAGCATTGATGCGTCCCACATTGTTCATCCCATCTCATCTGCAGATGTTCTCAACTACCACTTCGACTTCGAGGTATGTCTTCGCTAAATCTCCTCACTTTATACGATTCTTTCGATCTACCTTCCTTCTTTCACACCCTTCCTTTCTCAGTCTGCGATTTTGCTTCCATTCTAATTCCCCAAACCCGATTAGCCTCCGAGATTCCGTAGCGTTGTTCAATCGCTTGCTCTCCATGAGTCCGCCGCCCTCCATTGTCGAAATTAATAAGATTTTAGGATCACTTGCAAAGACCAAACACTGCACCACTGCTATCTCACTTTATGCCCAGGCGGAATTGAAAGGATTCAAACCATCTTTAGTTACACTGAACATTTTGATCAATTGCTACTGTCACATGTGTGACGTGACTTCTGCTTTTTCTTTACTGGGGAAGATTTTCAAGTGGGGATGTCAACCGGATACGGTAACAGTTAATACGTTGATGAAAGGACTCTGCATGAAAGATGTAGGGCAAGCCCTAGACTTTCACGATGACTTGTTGGCAAAACGATTTTGCTTAAGCCCAGTTACTTATGGTACCTTAGTTAATGGGCTTTGCAAAACTGGACAAACAAGATGTGCTGTTAAGTTGCTCCAAATGATGGGGGGACGGAAAGTTAAAACTGTGCCCGATGTGGTTATATACAACGCAATCATTGATGGCCTTTGTAAAGAAGGGCTAGTAAGTGAGGCATCTAAGTTGTGTTCTGAAATGATCAGGCGAGGAATATCTCCTGACATTGTTACCTACACCACTTTAATCCATGGTTTCTCTAACGCCAACCAATTGCAAGAAGCCATTAGGTTGCTAAATGAAATAGTCATGAAAGACATCACTCCTCCTCCTCATATCTTTAATATACTAATTGATGCATTTTGCAAAAAAAGAAGGATCATAGAAGCTCAATCTGTATTTGCTGAGATGATGAAATGTTGTGTAAAACCTGGTGTTATTACCTTTACTTCTTTGATGAATGGTTACTGTATGAGGAATGATGTTAATGAGTCCATAGCAGTGTTCAATAAGATGATCAGAGCTGATTTGACACCTACTGTTTGGAATTACAATATATTGATCAATACACACTGTAAATTAAAAAGGATGGATGAAGCCCTAGATTTGTTTAAGGAAATGCGCTGCAAGAATTTAATGCCTGATACAGTCACTTACAACTCTCTTATTGATGGCTTGTGCGAAGCTAAGAGAATGTCACATGTGAAAGATCTTGTTTATGAGATGCGTTGTAATGGTCACGCTCCTAATATAATAACCTGCAATATCTTGTTGGATGCATTTTGCAAAACAAAACTTCTTGATGAGGCGATTGCATTATATCAGCAAATTGTCAGTCAAGGAATGAAACCTACCGTACATACATATAGTATACTAATCGATGGTTTGTGCAAAGGCGGTAGGTTGCACTTGGCACGTGAGATCTTTGAATTGCTTCTGACTGAAGGTCATCATGTAGATGTCTATACTTACAGCATTATGATGAATGGACTTTGCAAAGAAGGCCTTTTCGATGATGCATTGACATTGCTTTCAAAAATGAAAGAGAATGGCTGCCTCGCTGATCTGGTGACATTTAGAACACTTGTTGGAGGTCTTTTGATGAAAAAAGAGAATGATAAAGCAGAGTTGATTATTCATGAAATGATAGATGCAGGTCGTCTTAAACAATAATACAAGGTTAAATGCTCTATTCTTATCTTATACTTGTTAATAGTGATATTTTTCAAAAGTGGCTGCAAAATGCTTGTTTACTTTGGGTAAAAGTTAATGAATTATTCCTCATTTTACCATCTCAGTGTTTTGTTATTCTGTTCCTGAATTATGCATCATGTTGCACTTATAATTCATACAATAATCTTTGCCTGATTGCATGGCTATGCTATGCTGTTCCTGGTGCCTGCTTACGTCCAACATGCTACTAATGCAACAATTAATTGTTTCTTTGAACACAACATGCTGCTTTGAAGTTTTTTTAATCCTTTTAATGAATAAATTACTGTATAATTGATCTTACTTCTAAGAATCATAAAATCAAGTCACTACGTACCACTGTTGTAATTGCCTATAATTGCAATTTAGAGTGAAATTTGTTACTTCCCTGAAGAAAAGACCCTTATAGCATCTAGAACAGTGAAGACCATGTTATAATATTGAGAACATGGGCAAGAAGGGTTGATAATGTATTTCTATGATTCTTGAGATGAATTTTAATTTTTATGATTTGTTTGTCAATGATACATGTAAGGACTGCTCTTTAAAAAATATTGTGCGGATGGCTCAGTAAAAAGGAATAAAGAAACTGGATTGATCTAGCCTCATACTCTATTACTCATTATTACACTAGTGCCTATGATGTGTGCATCTTTCTTCAGGCTTGACAAATAATTGTGTCGTGACCCCTTATAGAGTTTCTCATAGTCACACTATCAGCAGCACTGTAAGCACACCATGATTTTGTTCCAAGTTGGTTGGTTGTGTTTCAGAGAATCTCAGGTAATAGATTTTGTATTCGTTGCTTTGAATCGTGCTTGTATCTCTAAATTGATATTTTGGCGCCACTCATGATTCGACAGGGTTAGTACTTGCAATGAAGATGTTTCATGGAGATTGGTGACTGAAAAAAACTCAAGGTTAAAAACAGATGGGTTAGTTGATGCCTGTAATAACTGAAATTAAGGGGATTATCGCAGGTCTGACTTTATGCTGGGAAAAGGGCATAGGAAAAGGCCAAGTTTCTGCAGATTGGGTTAAAGAATAAGCTACTGGGGAAACTAGCTGTGATCATCTGGTAAGAGATATCATTGAAGGAGTTAGAAGAATGGTCTCATGAGATTGGGATTGTCTTTTCTGTTTTATCATCTGGGGATAGCGGTACTAATTTTTACAACTTTCATTACCGTTTACCACAAATCGTGGTTGATTAAAGCCCTTTTGATTTCCTGTGTGCTTTGTAGTTTCACTTTCACTTAATTAATATAATGGTTTTTGAAGATTATTGAAAAAAAAAAATTGTAAATGTTGAATTGTCAATTTTTGCATAACACAACTGCCTGCCTGCTTTCCCATCGAAAAAGTACGTACGTCGCAATTCATTCTATTATTCTGTCCCCACTCCCCCCGGGGGAAAAAAAGAAAACAGAGGATTTTGGTCTTTCACTTGCAGAGATTTTAGTCCCAAGAGAATGAATAACTTATTAAATATATATATATTTTCATTGTGATATTTAACATATTTTAATATAGAGATAAGGGTATATTTGTCATTTAAATATTTATTCATTTTCTTCTCTCTTCTTTTCATTTTCTTAAATATTTAGTAGATTTTATATCTAATATTTAGTATATTGCTCCTTGCCCTACCCTCGCCTGCCCTGTGGTCACTCCACGCCTCGATTCTACTGAAAACATTCATCTATTGAGTATTACGTGCATATTATACGTATGTGTACATGTATGTACATATATTATGCAGTTTCAGTCTTTTAAAAGGTTCATACTATACTGGGCTTTCGCTGGTTTAAAAGAAAAAGAAAGGGCTTGCTTAACAGAACTCTAATTAGAAGGTAATGTACAGTGATTTTATACTTTTTATATTGACAAAATTCTCATACAAGTTATTAGGATAAATATATTTTGAAATTTGATTTTTTTATTTCAGTTTCTAAAATTTAAAACCAGTAGTTTGACTCTTAAAATTTGACCTTATTTTGATCCGTCTAAATATTTTTGGTTCATGGAGTAGTGTTTTTGCCCTTGAAATCAAGAATAAAACAAAAATGAGATCAAACAGGAGAGGCTAAAAATAACATTAGCCCATATAATAATGATGATAATATTAAAATTATAAATTAATAATGAAATAAAAAGAGCTTGAGTTTTTGTAAAAAAACAGTTTTTTTTTATATTGATAAATCATGATATAAAGATATTATTCTTATTCTGACATGTCTATTTTTATTTTAACTTTCTTTTTAGGGATAAGATGTATCCATCACCTCGAAATATTTTTTTTAGATACATCTAGTACCTTAAAATATTTTGTGATGCATCTAATATTCTGAGGTATTTTTTTAGGTGTGTCTAGTATCATAAAATATTTTTAGATGCATCCTGCATTTCAAAGTATTTTTTTTAGATATATTCAGTACCCAAAAATATTTTTTAATCCATCTAGCATCAAGGCAAAAAAAAAAATTCAGGGTGCTGGGTTCCCCTAAAAAATATTTCAGAGTGCTAGATGCATACAAAATACTTTAGGGTGTTGGATATATATGAGAAAATATTTTGGGGGTTGGATCCACCTTAACTCTTCTTTTTATTATTTTATTCTTTGAGGAAATGTTTTTCTCAATATCTTGATTTTGCAATAAAATATATAAAATAATTTTATTTTAATTTGACTTTAGCCTTTTATTTGATGGTTTATTTCTCTTGACGTTACTTAAAAATGAGTTGAAAATAAAAATAACCGTATTATTCCCATTATAAATGTCATGTATTTTATCTCCTCTCTTTCTCTTCTCTGTCCAACCAGAAGAAGGATAATACTATCAACCAACTTTTCTCACATTTCTATTTTTCCTCATTTTATTTTTTCCCTCCTTCTGTTTTTCTCTCCAATAATTAGAAAACGATTTACAAAATAAAAGTTCAAGAATTAACACTAAGCTAATGGAGGTGGAATCTTAAAATCAGAATGAACGTTAGCGAAAACATATTAACCTTTTGACTTGATTCCACCCCACACCACCTCTAAATTAAAATATATATTAACTACTCATCCGGTTCTAAATATAAAACCCCTTTCGTAATATAATTTACATTACAAAAGGGATTTATATTTAGGATCGGAAGAATATAAATTATAATGTAAAGTATGGAGTAAATATCTTGACTTTTTTTAAAAAAAATAATTTGTCACTTTTAACCCGACAAGAGGATTAAAATACAAAATGATATATAGGCTTGTTTGTTTTCTTATTTTGAAAACAAAATTTTTTGGCTATTTATTTATCGTTAACTGTTTTTAAAAAAACCTGTTTTTACAAACTAAGAAACAAAAACAATTTTTACTTTTTTTGCATTTTTTATTTTTGTTTGAGAAAATTGGGAAACTCTTTCTTTTCCGTTGATTTATTTTCAAATGTAATTTGTTAGAACAATTATTGGAACGTATTTTTTTGTCTTCTTATTTTTAAAACTTGTTTTTAAAAGTAATTTTATAAAAAATTATTTTGGAAAAGAAAATGAAACCGATCCATTTGAAAAAGAATAATTGAAATTTGAAATTCCATTCCCTAATCCCTACTTCTAGCAATCCGCATATGTTTCTCGCATTTCCCCTTCGGTAAATCAGCAGGCGTCCAACATTTGTTCGTCCAATCTCATCTGAAGATGTTCTCAACTGCCCCTTCGAGTTCGAGGTATGTCTTCGCTAAATCTCCTCGTTTTATACGATTCTTTCGACCTACCTTCCTTCTCTCACACCCTTCCTTCCTCAGTCTGCGATTTTGCTTTCATTCTAATTCCCCAAACCCGAATAGCCTCGGAGACTCCGTAGCTTCGTTCAATCGCTTGCTCTCCATGAGTCCCCCGCCCTCCATTGTCGAAATTAATAAGATTTAGGATCACTTGCAAAGACCAAACACTGCACCACTGCTATCTTATTTTCTGCGCAGGCGGAATTGAAAGGATTCATACCATCTTTAGTTACACTGAACATTTTGATCAATTGCTACTGTCTTGTGGGTGACGTCACTTCTGCTTTCTCTTCACTGGGGAAGATCTTCAAGTGGGGATATCAACCGGATACCGTAACAGTTAGTACGTTGTTGAAAGGACTCTGCATGAAAGATGTTGGGCAAGCACTCGACTTTCACGATGACTTGTTGGCAAAGGGATTTTGCTTAAGCCCAGTTACTTATGTTACCTTAGTTAATGGGCTTTGCAAAACTGGACAAACAAGATGTGCTGTTAAGTTGCTCCAAATGATGGGGGGACGGAAAATTAAAACTTTGCCGAATGTCGTTATATACAGCGCAGTCATTGATGGCCTTTGTAAAGAAGGGCTAGTAAGTGAGGCATCTAAGTTGTGTTCTGAAATGATCAGGCGTGGAATATCTCCTGATATTGTTATCTACAACAATTTAATCTGTGGTTTCTCTAACACCAACCAATTGCAAGAAGCCATTAGGTTGCTAAATGAAATAGTCATGAAAGATATCAGTCCAACTCATCATACCTTTAATATATTTATTGATGCATTTTGCAAAAGAGGGAGGACCATAGAAGCTCAGTCTGTCGTTGCTAAGATGATAAAATGTTGTGTTAAACCTGATGTTGTTAGCTTCAATTCTTTGATGAATGGCTACTGCATGAGGAATGATGTTAACGAATCCGTAGCCGTGTTCAATAAGATGATCAGAGCTGATTTGACACCTACTGTTTGGAGTTACAATATATTGATCAATGCACACTGTAAATTAAGAAGGATGGATGAGGCCCTAGATCTGTTTAATGAAATGCGCTTCAAAAATTTGCTGCCTGATACAGTCACTTACAGCTCTCTTATTGATGGCTTGTGCAAAGCTAAGAGAATGTCGCATGTGAAAGATCTTGTTTATGAGATGCGTTGCAATGGTCACGCTCCTAATATAATAACCTGCAATATCTTGTTGGATGCATTTTGCAAAACGAAACTTCTTGATGAGGCGATTGCATTATATCAGCAAATTGTCAGTCAAGGAATGCAACCTACTGTACATACATATAGTATACTAATCCATGGTTTGTGTAAGGGAGGCAGGCTAAATATTGCGCGAGAGATCTTTGAATTCCTTTTGACCAGTGGCCATCATCTAAATGTCTACACTTACAACATCATGTTGAATGGACTTTGCAAAGAAAGCTTGTTCGGTGAGGCGTTGACATTGCTTTCAAAAATGGAAGAGAACGGCTGTCTCCCAGATACTGTGACATTTGAAACACTTATAGCAGGTCTTCTGAGGAAAAATGAGAATGACAGAGCAACGTTTTTTCTTCATAAAATGTTTGATAGAGGTCTTATGCCACGGCAAAACAAGTTCAAGGCTCTATTTTGATCGAATAATATGCTTTGTACTAATGATGATACTTGCCTGAGGTTTTTAGAGATTGCTTGCTTCTTTGTTTGAATTTTGAGCAATGGTTTTCAGATGCAATGTTAACTATAATAAATGGTATTTTTAATTATTATAGGTTATTAATAACCTCATTTTCATTGTGTTCCAAGTATGAGGTGCTGCTGTAAAGTTTTTCTTCTTATTAGTTCTGTCGTGTGCGCGCGTGTTCATTTGAGAACCATGCATTCTGTATGCAACTTCTTTCCTCTATGAATGCTAATATTGTCTCCTTTTTGGAATACATGCTCCTTTGTTTGAATATGGGCAGTGCCCACTTTTAATTGTCTGAGTTACTCGTTATCTAATTTGAAACATTGTTATAAACCACTAGGCTGGTGGACTTTCTGCCTTTCTGCTGCTATATGAATGCATTTTGTTGCCAATGGATTTAACTGCAACGATCAACTTGTACTCCTGTCATGCTAAGCTGCAATTTCTATCCTGAATTTGAAATGTTTCATGTGCTGCTCATCTATATATAATTGTTACTGAGACAATTTATTTGGGAGGAAGGCTACGAGTGGAGGGGAAGCAGTAATTTCACTAATTTGAAATACTGATCTGGAGACTGCAGCAACAGAACCATATGGGATGATATTGCAGTTTTCTCTTTGATCTGTGTGTTCTGTATTTATTTCATAATGAGTGAGTTGGCAGGATCAGCACTCGTACGTATGTTGCTTGATTGACACTGCTGCTCATTTCTGTTCCATGGACACTATGAATTTCTCCCAGGCAGACAGTGTGCTTCTAGAGTTATCAACTGATCTTTTTATATTTGTTAATTCTATTTCTAGGTTAGTGATCATGCGTATGCAGTTTTTAACTAAGTGGTGAGAGTGAGATTGAGGAAGTCTGATGTTTCAATTGACTATGATTAATTATATTTCAATTCAGAAACGAATGTTTTGGTTTCCTATTTTGCAAGGCATCACTTCACATATACCATTATAGCTCTACCGGTTAGTTTTTCTTTTCTCGTATTGGTCACTTGGCTATATATTCAACATGAACAAGGGCCTATTTGAAAAGTCTATTGAACTTTGAAAATGAGAAGTTTTGTTTTCACCAATGAGAATAAAAGTTTTCATTGTTACCCAAAAAAGGGTTTTCATTCCTCATATTTTGAGAACTGTATAGTTTTGATGTTTATTTTGTTATAATAAAAGAGGAACACTTGCCTTGTTTTATTTATTTTCAGAAGTGAAGATAATGACTGGATTATTAATCTTGTCTCAGTGGGGTATGTTGACTTTATTGTTATACTCCTCTTGTTCTATATGTAAAATTTGTTTTGTTGTGTAAATTAGACTGCAAAACGGGTTTTATATTTATATCTTGAGGAGTATTAATTTTTACATGTTAATTTTGATTGCGTGAAATACTGTGGGGCATTGATTTTTCTGAAAGTGCTTGTGTTGATCAGTCGTGTTGTTAGAAATTTGCGAGTTCTAAATCTCGCTGATCACCAAATATCAGCATTCTCCAAACCTGCTTGGTTATTGTGTTATGCCGGAGAAGTGATGCAGAGTCTTGAAGTGGGAGAATTATTTGGTTTGGCCCATGCAGTTTTTGATTCGCTTGTTACTCAATTTTTAAATTTTGATTCAATTGAAACTTAGTCTGTAAGTTTTAATTTATTACAACTTAGTTCCTATAGTTTTATAATGTTTTAAAACTTTGGTTTTTAAGTTTCATGAAATACATAAGATTATTCTTTATAATATAAAAGGCTAACATTTTAAATGGTTAAAAATATAATGATTGAGTCAAGTCAAAGTTCAGTTATAGAATTAAAATGTGAAAGTCATTTTACTGTCGGTGCTAAATGTGAATACTTTTTTAATGGGGATTTGAAAATTGATTTGTTACAGTACAAAGGATTAGTTCCTTTTGTTAAACTCAATTTCTATTGGTACTCTTCAAAATTTCATATTATGAAGACATGCAAATTTGTAATATGCCCTACATAGGGATGCATTCCCAGGGAAAAAAGGCTGTAAAGGGAATATGCCCAGAAAGCACAAAGGTGCATCCAGAAAATACATCTAACATATTTTCACAGGCGTTGAGTTTTATGTCGGCTATCTTATAGCATTGTGGGGTTTAATATATATTAATAATGACACAAATAATCAAATAAGTTATGTTTTTAATTCATACATGACGAAATAATATCGTCATGTGTATAACTTCACAAGATTAGCAGAACTGCATGACACAGGCATTCATGGAATCTTCATAACTAAATACTCCTCCGGTTCTTAATCTAAGAATTAATTATTGAATTGATCATGATCATAAATATAGGGCATATTTTTTAATTTATTAATTTTTTTAAAATTATTTTTATTGATACTCCATCAACCATAATTAAATAAGAAAGGGAGGAGGAAGGAGGGAGGATATTAAATTATGATGTAAAAGTATTGGAGTAAATATCTTGACTTTTTTTTCCCCCTCAAAATCATTTGTCACTTTTAAACCGACAAGAGGATTAAAATACAAAATGATATATGGGCTTGTTTGTTTTCTTATTTTGAAAACAAAATTTTTTTGGCTATTTATTTATCGTTAAGTGTTTTTAAAAAAAAAACAAAAAACCTGTTTTTAAAAACTAAGAAACAACAACAATTTTTATTTTTGTTTGAGAAAATTGGGAAACTCTTTCTTTTCCGTTGATTTATTTTCAAATGTAATTTGTTAGAACAATTATTGGAACGTATTTTTTTGTCTTCTTATTTTTAAAACTTGTTTTTAAAAGTAATTTTATAAAAAATTATTTTGGAAAAGAAACAAAAAAAAACAGAACCAAAGGCTGGGATGGGCGCCTATGCAACTGATCCATTTGAAAAAGAATAATTGAAATTTGAAATTCCCTTCCCTAATCCCTACTTCTAGCAATCCGCATATGTTTCTCGCATTTCCCCTTCGGTAAATCAGCAGGCGTCCAACATTTGTTCGTCCAATCTCATCTGAAGATGTTCTCAACTGCCACTTCGAGTTCGAGGTATGTCTTCGCTAAATCTCCTCGTTTTATACGATTCTTTCGACCTACCTTCCTTCTCTCACACCCTTCCTTCCTCAGTCTGCGATTTTGCTTTCATTCTAATTCCCCAAACCCGAATAGCCTCGGAGACTCCGTAGCTTCGTTCAATCGCTTGCTCTCCATGAGTCCCCCGCCCTCCATTGTCGAAATTAATAAGATTTTAGGATCACTTGCAAAGACCAAACACTGCACCACTGCTATCTCACTTTATGCCCAGGCGGAATTGAAAGGATTCAAACCATCTTTAGTTACACTGAGCATTTTGATCAATTGCTACTGTCTTGTGGGTGACATCACTTCTGCTTTCTCTTCACTGGGGAAGATCTTCAAGTGGGGATATCAACCGGATACGGTAACAGTCAATACGTTGATGAAAGGACTCTGCATGAAAGATGTAGGGCAAGCCCTAGACTTTCACGATGACTTGCTGGCAAAACGATTTTGCTTAAGCCCAGTTACTTATGGTACCTTAGTTAATGGGCTTTGCAAAACTGGACAAACAAGATGTGCTGTTAAGTTGCTCCAAATGATGGGGGGACGGAAAATTAAAACTGTGCCCCATATGGTTATATACAACGCAATCATTGATGGCCTTTGTAAAGAAGGGCTAGTAAGTGAGGCATCTAAGTTGTGTTCTGAAATGATCAGGCGAGGAATATCTCCGGATATTGTTACCTACAACACTTTAATCTGTGGTTTCTCTAACACCAACCAATTGCAAGAAGCCATTAGGTTGCTAAATGAAATAGTCATGAAAGATATCACTCCTAATCATCATACCTTTAATATATTTATTGATGCATTTGCAAAAGAGGGAGGACCATAGAAGCTCAGTCTGTCGTTGCTAAGATGATAAAATGTTGTGTTAAACCTGATGTTGTTAGCTTCAATTCTTTGATGAATGGCTACTGCATGAGGAATGATGTTAACGAGTCCGTAGCAGTGTTCAATAAGATGATCAGAGCTGATTTGACGCCTACTGTTTGCAGTTACATATATTGATCAATGCACACTGTAAACTAAGAAGGATGGATGACGCCCTAGATTTGTTTAATGAAATGCGCTGCAAAAATTTGCTGCCTGATACAGTCACTTACAGCTCTCTTATTGATGGCTTGTGCAAAGCTAGAGAGAATGTCACATTTGAAAGATCTTGTTTATGAGATGCGTTGCAATGGTCACGCTCCTGATATAATAACCTGCAATATCTTGTTGGATGCATTTTGCAAAACGAAAACTTCTTGACGAGGCAATTATATTGTATAAACAAATTGTCAGGCAAGGAATGCAACCTACTGTACATACATATAGTATACTAATCGATGGTTTGTG